TAGTGTGCTATGGCACTCTCCCACCAGGCATAAAGCTGAACATATACTCTACCTGCAATTTTGAACTCCCAGAACTCCCCTCCACTCCCACCCCAAGGTCTAGAAGCCTGTCCCTCACAGAATCCAGACTCTTGGGCATTTTCTCAAGATGTATGGACAAGGCATAGTCCATTACAAGTCTGTGCTAAATCAGTGGCATGGGTGTAAAGCAAGGACTGCAGTACAGGGGAGCCATATGGGAGAGGGAGAAACAGTGCCCCGTGGCACAGCACAGCAGCAGCAGCAGCAGCAGCAGCGGTGGTGGAACAATAGGGCCACACCCCTGGTGATATTTTGGAGGAACACTTCCCATCTCTCTTAGCAACCAGAGGGAGCTGGGCCTCTACTCCCGTGACAGCCGTGGAAATGCAGGCCCTGTGAGCAAAGGATATGCCGGAGGAGGTACCTGCCTGGGTGGGGGCGGTGGGGCGGTGGGGACAGAGACTAGAATATGCGCAGGTGCAGAGGCAGCATACTCCCAGGGCAGGGCTGAGTCAGAATTCCTGCTTTTGTGAGCCCAAGATGCACCTGCCCCCCAGTGGAGCATGGCTGGGACAAAAGCGGGTGTGGCAGCAGCACCAGCCCAGGGAGGGGCAGGAACTGAGAGCCCTCTGTGAGCTCTAACCACACCCATCCCAACACAGAGTGCCCCAGAGAAAGAGATGCTAGCTCCATGAGAATTGGCACAGCAGCACAGGGCAGGGCTGAGTCGCAGTTTCTCTAAACTCAAATAGCACCTGGCCTGCAGTGGAATACAGCCGGGACAGAAACGCAAATTCTGAGAGAATATAAGTGGCAGCATCATCAATCTGGGGTGGGGCTAGAACTGAGTGACACTCCCCAGCTTCCATTAAGCACCTGAGGTAGTCAGGCTTCAGGTACCCTTGCTGGCTGGTGGCTGAGTACAGTGGCCTGGCTGAGGAGACATAGATCTGCCTGTGATTCAGGAAGGTGCAAGCCCCTGGCACATCTGCTCATTGGAGGGAACTGGGCCACAGTTCTGCGGGGTTACTAGTGACTGGGTGTGACAGAGGTGAAAGGTGGGGAAGAAGGCATCAACCTCCCCGTACTAACTCATTTGCTGGGCAGGCGCTTCTGACTCCACAGAGTACCAAAGTGAGCCACACTCAAGCTGCCAGCAGACCCCTGCTATCTAGTTGCTGGAGACCTTTAGAACTCTTGACCTAGGCCAATCACCCACGGACCATCCAAGGTGGTACCCTGGTCATGTTGTTGTGGAAAGGTTTGATTTTCCTTTTCCAGTTGTTGCCTGTGGGGGACGGGGTGTCTTAGTTGCTTATATTTCTCCACAGCTGAGACTTCCACTCTGAGTTACGGATTCACTAGGACTGGACAGAGACCAGCTGAATACAAGACTGAGCCACCTAGCCCCACCACACCAAGCAGGTCCCCAGTGTCTCAGGCTGTAGTACTGTACAGGTCCTTTGCAAAAGTGTAGGGGAAAAGCTGCAGTCACCAGTCCCAGCTCTT